TCATCAAAAAAAAAAAACTAAAAAAACTGAATATGGAGTGTTTTTAAAATTAAAATGTCTGAAATCTTTTATTACTTGACGTTTACGTTCAAACGCAAAACAGAGATGCTTGTGATGGATAGATCCACGTAATGAGCCAAATTGAGATCCTTGTGATAGATAGTGTACAAGAAAATGTAGTTTTAAAATAAAACTGTTTGAATATAATTGAAGAAACTGCAATGATGTGCTTGAATACAAACCTTTAGGTCCTTAATATAAATATCAGTTACTAACGGAGACATACATAGCTGCACTATTTGTATAAGTTTTACTTAGCATGAAAGGTGAGGATCAGATAAATCCATAAATCTTAATAAAAACACAGCACACGAGAGAGAGTTAATATTTGTCCACTACCAAATTGTCCTCAAATTTTAAGTACAGGTAATACCAGGCTTTTCAATACCAGAAGGATGTATATATGATTGAAGCAATTTGTAAAGATCAGCTAATGGAAACTTTTATGGTAAACAGTATAGTAAAAATAATTCTAAACGTAGTGGCACAACCCCTTCCAATTATTCATGCATTGGATCAACAAGCAACTGCTTGATGACATCGAAACTTGGATTATTTGATAAAATTCTAAAGTTATCAATACCATGATTTCTTGACCATTTTGATCTATCAGTTTTACTTAGCCCAGAATTCAACTCATTTAAACGTATGACATGTTCAGGCAAATTTCGAACCAGACACTCTTCATGTGTTGTAAACTTAATCATTTCAACCTGCTTAGAATTACAGCGCCTACAGCAGTGAACAGTTTTTTGACTAAATTCTTCTTTAAATCCTCTTATTGAATTTGCTGCTAAAGATTCCCCAGAAAAGTATAAAATCTCAGCTGTAACTGTTATTAATTTTCCAACTTATTTTTACGCCTGTATATAATAATTGTATATCATAAGTAAATAAGAAAAATAAACGAAATTTTTGGTAAGCTTACTATAGTAAAAACGTATAAGAAAATAGATGATGTTCTACCTCTATACTTTCCAGAAATGTTTGGTGTTAACACTGGAAGTTAAATATCGTTTTCGATGTATCCTAATAGTCGGTTATTCAACGTATTTTCAATATCAATTAAAACTTCTTTTAGAAATTATAAAAGTAGGCGAAGCCTTCCAGTTGCTTTGTGTTACGATTATTTTACCAAACCCACCATTCTTTCAAAGAAGCCTCCCCACCATGGACTTCTTCCTAGTTGAACTTCTACTTATGTTCATTTTACCTAGGAATTCATTTATCTGCGAATCCTTTTGTAATCGAGGGATCCACCTCGCAGTGCTGATAAATGTTTTAGCGTTGTCACTTACTATAAGTGCAAGTGTCCCTCTTCTTGCAATCATTTCTTTCATGATTCGTCTCAAATCTTTTTTTTCCATTGTTTTTAGCAGATCCAAATGGATTGCACTTGAAGTTGCTTAAGTATACAGTACAATATAAGATTTTCTGTAACACTCTTTGCTGACTTTATATTCGATTGGACTATCAAAGTCCAAACCAACAATTTAAAAGGGATAACTTTTGGTTTGATATCTTAGTAAATCCGCTGTTGATGGAGCTAGCAGGGCTTTGCACCTGAATCTTTTACACCAATTGCAATTGTATATTATTGTTTTGACTTGGCAATGTAGGGTATCTATCAAATAGTACTCACGAAACTTTGACATGGTTAAGCCAACCATTCCATGTGTTTTTGCATGTGCTCTTTGAATCACTAAGTTAGTAAACAGATGCTTGCATGGTAAAAATAATGGTTATTTGCCCTGTACACGTTCCATACAGACTTGTAGCCCATTGTGATTTTTGTGTAATCGTAATCTTTCGGAAATTTCTTTATACTTTTCGAAATTTTCAAATTCGTGTTGGATATTTTTGATCAGCTCCTGCTAGGCTTTTTTTTGTTCGGCAAACGATAACAATCCACGATATTTCTTTTTGCTTCTGATGTTGTTAAAAAAGACCTATGCCACTAATCTTATAATCTTTGGTAGTTGATACCTGCTCATAAGCTCATTTAAGTAGTAAACTTTTACGACTATAGCAAAATGATGTATATTAGTCCGATTAACTTTTTTTTTTATTACTTCTACTTAAGTATGGACTATGTTGGGCGACCACTCATTCTTTTTGGCCATCCATTTTGGACCGTTGAACCAGATTTGAGGAAGTTTTCCGTTTTTTACTCCTCTACTTTCAATATCTGCTGGATTAGCTGGGCAGTGGCGCGCATTAATCCAATTTCGTTTATTGATTTCTTAGACTCGATTTGATATGAACTGCTTCTATTTGCGGCTATCATTGTGAATCCAATGCAATGCCACCGAACTATCAAGCCAACCGTATATCTCAACAATTAGGTGTCCATCAAGTGCCAGTTAAATGTTTGTAAGAGCGTTGGCTACCATACTTCCAGAAATTAATTCAAGTCTTGGAATTGATAAACCTCGTTTGGAATCGCGTGATTTTGCAGAAAGCAGTCTTTGAGTGACTTTGTTACCTTTATGTACTGCTGCATGTATTGTACAACAGCCATCTTCATTTGCATTACAAAATTCATGGATTTCAACCATTTTTATCATATGATCAAAAATAGTTTAACTTCTTGGTTTTGGTGTTAGATCTGGTAACATATTTTCCTTCTATGCAGTATGCAAATTTTTTTTTGAGATGATGACTAAATTAAAATTATGATATAAGTGTTTTGTTTTTTAATATAATGTTAAAACCTATTAACGTTTTCTAATTTTTTTAAATTCGCTTAACCTAACGAAAATAATATTGTATTTGCTGAGTTAATGGACGTTTTAAATTAGTTAAACTTTTGTTTAGAATGTTTCGTTTTTGTTTATGCTAAACCTATTGAGAAATATGCTATTGTATTGCTAATCTATACTTAATTTTATAAAATTATAGTTAATCTATACTTAATTTTAGTTAAACTTTTGTATACAAAACTCCAAATTATTATTTGATTCACATTTTTCAAACTCTAGTTTTTCACGGTTTTTTTAATTGTATTAAGTAGCAAGGATTTAGATACAAGGATTTTAATTGTATTGTATTTGTAGAAACAATTCCAGTTGTCTACATAAAAACACTTTTAAGTAAGCAGAAATTAATTTGTTTATATAGTTTGTAAATAATATATAAGCTACATTTTAGTGGTTAAGTTTTATCAGCAATGGATGATACTTTTTGCTTTTTCATTACTAGGTTATAACATTAATTAGAATATATGTTTTACATAATATTTAAACGGATTTCCTAATACACATTCTTTTCCAATAACATAAGAATTTATTATGAAAATTTTGTAAAAAAAATGTAAAATTATCTATTGTTAACATTGTGTTAAGTATTTAAAAATACTTGTGCATAATTTGCACGCGCATACAATTGTGCATGCCAAGTGCATACAAAAAAAATCTTTTTTTCTTTTTAAACCCAAACCTTATTTATAATAATATATAGTTTTTATAGATTGTATACATTTAAAATATTGTATTACAGTCTAATACTATGAATAAAAATCATGTAAATCTATTTTTCATTTTAGATAATGAAGCCTTCAAAGTCAGGTGCAACTAAAAGAAAAGAGGCAGCAGCAACAAAAGATGCAACAAGCAAACTTCCCAAAGTTACATCATTCATTACACCTATTCCAAGTAATTGCACCAGCAATGAAAAAATTTGCTCTAATGAAGTGGTCATTCATGAACAGTTAGATATTGCGAATAATCAACCTAACACAATAGAAAAGTTGTACACTCTACCATTGCCACCGTTTAGTGACCCAGCCAGCTTGTGACCCAGCCAGCTGGCCTGAACAAATTTCTGATGCTCAACGATGTGACCTAGTCAAACGTGGTCCTCAACAGGTTGATATTGACTTTCCATACAATATTGCTGCAAGGCGTCGATTTTTAACGGTTCATTACAAGCGTGTGATGAATAATGGAGAAACTGTGCCTCGCTCATGGCTTGTGTATTCGGTAAAGTCTGACAAAATTTTTTGTTTTTGCTGTAAACTTTTTGAAACAAATGAAAGTCCGTTTCGTAGTGGTACTAGTACATGGGAGGGACTATCAAAGAAGTTAAAAGACCATGAAACAGGAACATTCCATCAAAAGTGTTTTAGACAATGGATGCAGCTTAAAGAGGGTATCAATAATTATTCATCCATAGATAAACAAGAAATGCAGCTTTTTCTTAAAGAAAGGCAATTTTAGAGGGATGTCCAGGAGCGTCTTATTGACATTATAAAGTTCGTGTCAGAAAGTAATTTAGCATTTAGAGGTTCCGAAGAAGTACTTGGCTCACCACACAATGGAAACTGTTTGAGCTATTAGCAAAAAGAGATCCTGTACTAAACGAGCTACACAAAAGGATTGAAAAAAAACAAACACATGATCACTACTCAGCAACAAAATCCAGAATGAGTTAATTCAACTTATTGCAAAAGAAGTAGAAAAAGAAAACCTGAAAAAACTAATGATATCTAAGTACTATGCGATAATTCTGGATTGTACTCCAGATGTTTCTAACCAAGAACAGTTAACAGTCATTTTGCGTTTTGTTGATTGTGATACAGGTAATGAAGTCACAATAAAGGAAGCTTTATTTGGATACCTTCAAGTTAGTGACAGCTCAGGAAAAGGGCTTTTTGACACATTTTTAGAGCGAGCAAAGGAGTTAAAACTGAATATGTTAGACTGTCGGGGCCAGTCGTATGATAATGGTTCTAATTTGAAAGGGAAGAATTCTGGTGTTCAGTCACGAATTCTACAAATAAATCCAAAAGCTCTATATGTGCCTTGTGCTAATCACTGATTGAATTTAGTTGTGGTTGACAGTGCCAATTCGTCAACTAGGGCTTTATCATTCTTTGGTGTTCTGTCCAGATTGTACACCATTTTCATCATCCACACAGCGCTGGAGCATTTTGAAAGAACATGTGGAGATTGCTGTTAAATCAATCGGACACTCGATGGGAAAGTCGAATTAACTGTATTCAACCTCTGCGGTATTATTTTGGCAATGTTTTGATTGCACTGGAAAAACTGGAGGAGTATGCAATAGAAAAAAAAGATGGAAAAACAGCTTCGGAGGTTCGGTCATTGATAACATATATTTCAGACTGGGCATTTCTTTTGTCTATTGTCATCTGGTATGACATTTTATTTCAAGTAAATAAAACAAGCAAGCTCATTCAATCCTTTGGTATTTCTCTAGATGTTATGGAAAATGAAATCAGAGCAACTGAGACATTTTTAGAGAAGTATCGAGAAAATGGATTCTCAAGTGCTGAGACCACAGCCCGTGAACTTGCAGAAGAACAAAATATTCCAAGAAATTTTGCATCAATTTGCAACAATAGGGAAAAAAAATTGTTTGATTATGAAGGAGACGACGAAAGCGGTAGTCAAACGCCCATATCACAGTTCAAAAGTGACTTTTTTTTTGTGCTTTTGGACCAAGCTTTACAATCTGTACGGGAGCGTTTCCAACAAACACATGATGTGGCTGCTGTATTTTCATTTCTGTTTAATCAGAAAAGTCTTTTTCAAGCATACAAAGACAACACCCTTTTGCTGAAGTGCCAGAATTTTCACAATAAAATGGGTGATATAGATCCGTTTGAAATGGAGATGGAATTAAAGAGATTTATTCATCTAGTTTTAGAAAACGATGAAAAGTTAAAAACTGCAATACATTTTCTGAATTATATCAACAACAAATGTCTGCAGGAGGTGTATCCTAATGTCGCTATCGCACTCCGTGTTTTGTTGACTTGCCCTGTGACAGCAACAATTGCTGAAAGAAGCTTCAGTAAATTAAAACTTATCAAAAATTTCCATCGCTCAACAATGACGCAAGATCGGCTGTCTTCTCTAGCCATGCTCTTAATAGAAAGTGACTGTCCCCGGAAGATAAACTGTGACCACCTTTATTGAGGTCTTTGCAGACTCAAAAGTTCGTCGAAGCATTTAGTTGAGCCTCATTGAATAACACTTTGTAAATAAAGTTTTGTAGCAAGAAGTTAAAAAAAATCAAGTTTCTATATCTTTTTTATTAATAATTTGTTTTTAGGTGCTCCAAGAAGTTTTTCACAGAGATTTTTCACAGTGGTAAAGCATTTATTAAGAAGTTCACGCCTCCTTCCTAACCGTTGTAGAAATCTTGTCCAGAGGGTGTTTTAAAACCCGGATCTCTTGAGTCGACTCGATTAGAGAGACAAGCACTCTACCACTTGAGCTAAACGGCTTTAAAATTATCTGATCATGCATGTGGAATGAGTAACACCAACATGTTTTGTTTTTTATCTCAACTTTTTAATGGGGCCCGAAACCCACTTTGGGGGGGCCACCAGCTGTCTGGCACAGCACTGAGCGTTATTGGGGAAATTACATAAAGTGGATCAAAGATTTTACCCAAACTTCCTAAACTGAGCCAGTTATTGTTTCGATGTTTTTTGCTTCCCAGTTTTTTGACTCTAATTTAAGATACTTGATTAGTGCAGATAAGAGCTACCAGCTTTAGTGTCCAAAAGTGCTCCCACATTATATTTACCAAGCCTCACAATAACTTTATGATGAATAGTTTGTCTTTCGTATCCAACCATAAAGATACCTTTTTTGAATCATTTTTATTAACTTCAGTGCATATAGATGAATGATGTTTTCCTTTGCAATGATAGCGAGAACGCTTACTTCGGCAGTTCGATATTACGTGATTTGTTGAGGTACAAATCACGTGATATTTGCGCTTCCAATTATTGCGAGATTTTGTAGTTTTGTTTTTTTTTTCTGAAAATATTGCTTGATCGTCCAAAAGATGCTTCCGGATTTCGTAGTATATAGTCACGTAGGGCTTCGATCAGCTGTTCAAACCTCTAATCCTGCCAATTTGAATCAGTTCAGTGATGTCCATTTTAACAGGACCAGGCTTGTCGAGAGTATCACGCACCAGAATTTCTGTTATCTCCAATTTGTTTAATATTTTTAATGAATTTACTCTGACGTTTAATTTTCTGTAGACTGATATATTTGATCCACATTAACATATTTTATGAAGGGAAGATCCATAATATCACGACTATGCTGACGAATGATTTCAGAAGTGTTATTTGTGAAATATTTCATTTTTTTGATTCAACACTATTTTTGCTTTTTGATAACCACTTGTATTAAACGGAAGTCCAGCAATTTCTTCTTTTGGAATGCTTGATAAGACTTCACGTAGGTATGATAGCTTAGTTACAGCAGCATAGTTTGTGTTGTCAATTTCAGTGCTGAACTGTTCCCAGGACCATACCCAGTCAAGAATAATGTCATCAAACTTTGAAATTTGAAGTCTGGAAAGTTTTGCTATAAAGTCGTTCGTGTGTGTATTATGCGTGCTTTGAGTTGCTTCTTGTTTTACGCGAACGATTTCTTCGTGCATCATTTTCTTTTTTATAATGTCTCTTTCTAATCGATGTTCTTCCAATAAAGTAAGAATTTCACTTTGTTGTTTATTCAAGATGTTTTGCTGTTTGTACCAGTAGTCAATGTCTTTATTGTCGGGAATATCTTTGTCTCTTTTTAATTCCTCTATTTGGATCAAGTAAAGCTTCCAACAATTTTGCTTTGATAGTTGGCTTTAATAGTTCCAATGAATGTAAATCGTTATTGTTCAATGTCATGCGTACTTCTAAACCGAGTCGCTCAATTTTTGATTTCGTTAGTTCCAATTTTCTTGTTAATGTTGCTATAGGATCTTCGCGTTGCTTAGGAGGCATGTTCAAATTTGTTGTAGGTTTTCCTTAGACAGTTGATTACTTGTTGAAATTATAAGTTGATTCCAGTGTCATAGTAGGGTCGTTACTTTATGTTGTGAATTTAATATTCTGTTTGTTGCATTCAACTGACTAAAGCATATCACTTTTACGCTTCATGTATTTCAATATAGATCAACGGTATTTATACAAAACTGGCAATTATCCGTAAGTAAACTTCGTAAATTAAGTATTCCCTAGATATCAAGATAATTGCCGTAAGAAAAACCCATTCAAAATGCCGTAAAAAAACGTCTTCGCGTTTCATATAATAAATAAATATTCTTAACTAAATACTAAAACGTTTATTACATACCACTATATAAATCATCAACATTATCATACACTATTTGATCAACTATTATATTAGGTTCAGTATTATCATCAAAAGTATTATTTTCTTTAGTATAGTTAACAATGTGCTTTTGATAACCGTATAAATTTTTAAACTTGGAAAAACAATTAATTCAAAACACTGCAGCACATTACATTTTAATATTTTGAGCCTAGTTAGTTAAGAGCAATTTAAATTAGGAGCCGAGTTGAAGTTATAAATGACTTTAACTTAGTCTTTATTTCACTTAGTATTTATTTCATAAGTAATTACTTCTTAATCCATTACTTACGATGACTTATGTATTTTGAGTACTTAGAAAACAACTTCAATCCGTTAATAAAATTCTGTTTTGAGAAAAGTTCTCAATAAGGAAAAGCCGTTAAACAATAAAATAAAACAAAAAAATGTAAGAACCTACTTTACAATAACGTAGACGATTGGGTACAGCCGACACTAAATCCAATAGTATTTTTACTTTTTTTTCACACATTATATCATTCTAAAGCCAATCAATGAACTTATAAACTTCCATAAGTAAATTAATTCTTTAATTGACGTCTTCATATCTTATTTTATTTTTCATGTCTTAATCTATTATAGAATAAATTATATAACACATCTAAACACTACTAGTATATATGAGATTTTCTACACTCTCACGGAAAGTGTAGAGTTTTCCTCCACACTTTCCTCCACATCAGTGTGTAGGCTTCACTCCTACACTAAAGTGTGGACTTATTTCACACATTTGTGGACTTTATTTATATCCACATTAGTGTGGAGTAAATTTTATTTTATAAGAGAGCGCCTATTAAAATGCTTGTGGGTAAGGTTAACATAATTTTTTTTTACGCATTATTTTGAACAATTTGCATTTTATTCAAGGAACAGCAGTTAATTACTGCAAGTTTATTATAAGTGTTCTTAATTTTTTTACGCGTTATTGTGGCTTTTACGCATTATTTTGGATAATTTTCATTTCATTAAAAGAACGCCAGTGGATTCTGGAAGTTTCTTTAAATAATTTGAAGATTTTTATTATTAAAAATTATTCACTCTATTATAATTAGTATACTCTTTACTATAGTTTAAATAGTAAATGATAGAATTTAATTATTTTTTTAATTAGGAAATGTAAAAATGATCTTAAATTTTATGGGTTAACATTTTATAGTAATATCTAATTACTGTCAAGTAAACTGAAGAAATTACTACATGTAGATGAAAAAAGCAACAAATATAATTAGTAAATTAAAAGAATATTGGAAATAAATTATTATAGTTATCTCTAACTAAAAAATCCCTTAATAAATAATATTATTAAACAAATAAAAGACATCTCACAATTTAAAAAACAAAACAAATAAAATTAAACACATCTGGGATTGAAAGGGATTTAAATATTTGGAAGAATAGTTATGTTTGTAAATAAGTCAGCAACGGTTGCACTTTTCACACTTAATTTAAGTCCCATGACTTTCTCCAAAAAGCCATAAAAAAATCTTAATTCGGTCGGATATTCGACGGCGAAAACATAAAACGTCATGAATAAAAACTCTAATGCCTCCATAAAACAGCTGCAACAAGGCAGTGTTATAACTGTATTGTCCACCTTTATATAATATCCATTAGATACCCGCATCAACATCGGTTGTTTAACTCCGCGATCTTCTAGTGTCTTTGGTTCACAATCAATTGTGTCATCCTGCATAATGTATAAACAATTTTTTACATCCTTTACTATCAGACAGAATAGCAACAATAATAATAAAATAATGATAAAAATATAAAGATTCAAATAATTAAAAAAAATTTAAACAAACTTCTACAAATACATTAAATCAATAATTTCAAAAAAAAATAAAAAAATACCTTAAAGTCAAAGAAAAGATTTGTCATAACCACATTCGGTAGCAAACGAGCCCTTTTAATTGATTTTTGTGGTGGGGTAGGGAGAAGCCAAACAAGACATTCAACCGCAAGTTCACTTTTCTTGTCTAACAATATAAAATAAAAAATTTTTGAAGATTAAACAGTTTTAATATAAAACTTGTGCAAAAAAAGTTACAAATAGTAAAAACTAAGCTATTTTAGTTATTTTACTTAATTAACAATAAACCACAATTTTTAATCAGACAGTTAATTGAAAAGTTCATAATTCACCTTCATCTAACTCATTTGTTAAGAAAACCATTAGAGTATTTAATGAGGGTTTCGATTTGGCATATTCCAGAATTTTAATTTTATATTTCTGCCACTCAATGTGTAATCGTGTTTCTATAAAACTGTTACTTTGGAATTCTTTAAGAATCTAATAAGAATATATATATATATATATATATATATATATATATATATATATATATATATATATATATATATATATATATATATCTATACATATATATCTATATATATATATATATATATATATATATATATATATATATATATATATATATATATATATATATATATATATATATATATACTTAATTTAATTATTATCAAACATAAAATATCAACCATATATTGAATATCAATATATATATTGTATTAAATAAATGTATATATACTGATTCTGGCATGTCAAGTAGTCGTGGGTACTGGTTTACAATTTCTGTGATCGATGGGAACGATTTGTTGATCCATGATCGCCGATGATTTCTTGTAACATCCATTAATTTAATTAGCTCTTCTTTGTTTTGGGCATTAGGTCGTTGTTCGCGTAGCAATCGAACAGCACTTTCAACATCATCGCTAGTTGTTACACCTAATCTACTAGTAGCAAGACTACTGATAAAAGATAAAGAATAATAAAAATTTATTGAAAGTTGAAGCAAAGGGCTAACACTTATTATAATCGCTTATTATAATCTTCATCATTATCATCATCATTTATTAAATAAAAGGATGTTTTAGATCTAATATTTACCTATCTGATGGTGAATGTTTCCATAGTGTAGTTATATCATTACAATCAGATCGCCGGCTTCGAACAAAGAATTCTAACTTACCACTAAATGATTTTCTATCAAAGAAGTATCCCTAAAGATAACAAAAAATAATAACAAACAGAGTTTAAAATAGTAGTTAATCTATAAATATATTACTCACGTAGCCACTAGCTGTTCCATTATGTAAGATAGGAAAACAGTCAATAATTGACTTTGATAAGTCCTGCTTCTCAGTAGCATTCGGTCTATCTTTTCTGAAATATAGAAATATAAAAGTTATTTTAACTAATTAAAATCTTATCAGACTTTTCATTTTATTTATACTTACTGAGCACAATTGTTCATCAGGTAACGCCCACAAACTTTTATTAGAAATAACATTTTTGCTTTTTCAATCAGCTCTCCTGACTTTAACTTTTGTGTCAATCGCTGACCACAAATAGGCCCATTCTGCTGCTTCTGCTCTGATATAATATTATCAATTCGCAGATTCTGATAAAATTAATGGAAATATGCAATTAATATAAATTCGTATTATTTCATTTTAGCTTTTAAATACTATACAAAATATACACTTTACCGTTATTACTTTTATTAATATTATAATTATTTTTTATTGTGACATGTCTCTATTATTCACTCCATGTATGCCATTTCAGCAATCATTTGTTAATTGTTTGAAAACTAACCTTGAAACTGATTACACTAGTAGTGGTGCAGCTATTTATTCTGGGTGAAGCATTAACTGACTCACCAATACTCAACAAACATTGTGGAGTAACATATTCATTAACAACCTGGACATTACCAACCGCTTGAGCCCTAATCCATTCCTGCAGTAACCTTCTTTCTGCCATCCTAAATCCTAATTTAACAAGGTCCTCTTCTGTGGCTAATACAAATGACCTTAGTGTAAAACCAGATTCTAAAATAAAAAAATATAATAAATAATTAATTAAGTTGTATGTGTATATTGATGTGTAAAGAATATTTTTAATTTGAAAGACATAAATTTGAGTTAATCGTTATTTTAGGTCTGTGTATTTTAAGAGAAAGTTATTTGGGATACATAAAAATACATACTTAAAGAGAAACTCTTACCAAGTAAAGCATGTTGAATTTCGTCAGGGAGAACAGATAACTCTAATACAGTGGCAAGTGTGTTGATTAGACTCATAATTTAAGGAATATATAAACTAAACATAATCAAATCAACTAAATCAACATATTTCCCCTTTAGCAATAACTGTATATATACAATCACTAGGGACATATACAAACATTTATAATTTGATGTGTAAAAACCTATATTAAACAAAAATAATAATAATATTTTAAAAAATAATTTTTTTAACAACTCCAAAATTTTGTAGAAACCTTTTTTCTAAATTTTGGGGAAATGTTTTTTCTACAAAATTTTTGTATTTGAAAAGAAAACATTGTAGATTAAACTTTTAAAATTATATTATGAAAAACTAATAATATAATTAGCAAAACACCTTGCTATTGATCTATATAGCAACTAAAGTTTATAAAATTTACACAAGATATAAAAAATTAAAAAACATGATAGGGCAATCGAACAAAGTTCTTCTTTTCAGTAGTCGCAAGCAAACTATGACAAAAAAGTGGATGATAATCAACAAAATTAGAAAGCTGGAAAATCTGATACTCTGGTTGAGAAATAAATATTACTTCATAAGAATGAAGGTGATAAGTAAAATTGCTTGTTTTCGCAATTTCTAAGACAAAATGCCACTTCTCTCCTTTGAGCACATTAATTGGATTGTTATTTGTGCTTGAAATGAAGCATACAATTTTTCCAAAGTTTGGCAAGCCAGTCTCCATATCTATGTTAATTGCAATGAAATGTCCTTGTTTGTATTCAACGCTTCCTGCATGCAATGTTTTTGCAATAGCAATTTCATCACATGACTTAAAACACAGTATATTTTGCATAGCGTTATAAAAAGGAAGCGAATAAGTAGATTCAATATTATATTTTACCACTGTGACAATTTTACGAATGTGTTTGTTAGAGAGCTGTGACTCTAAAGCCTGTTGCTGATGTCTATGTGCTAGAGTGTGACAAATATTGGTAAAGTTGCATACGATATGTGCACACCTTTTAAAAAATGAATTTTTCAGTTCGTATGGCATACAACTCATGCTAACAAGTGGACCAGACTTGATTATAATATTGGGCAAATGCACAAGAAAATGATGCTTTGGACGTAGCCTTACTTCATCGCTGCAGTATAACTTGCTAAACATAGATAAATGATCACTAATAACATGCTTCATATAAACAACCATTTCATGTTTAAAACATGGTGCAAAAATTAAATGAGACAAGCGAAGTAGAAATTTCCAGTTTTTATTCTTTAGAGGGACCATTTTTCCTACAGCCACTGGTAAATACTTGAGCAGAGCCCACCATTGTACTGCTTTCATAAAGGGTGTAAGTACATGCCCTGGTTCTTGTATTTTGAAAATTTCCGCGGGTTTGTGAGTTTTTTCAATAGTTATTTTTCCCCATAATAAAGAAATAGCTTTATTTATATCTGATAGAGTTATGCACTTATCTAATATGCACAAACCATGAAAAATACACCCTAACTCTACAAGCACAACACCTTCCAAGAGAGTGATAACCTTTTATCATGATAACCTTTTGTTTTATTGAGTAGACATTCAGTCTTTACACCTCTGTAGTGATTTTTCAATTTATTATAACTGGTCTTATTACTTGTCCTTTTTGCTACTAAATTAATCAGATCCGTTTTATAGCTATGCACAGTACGCATCTCAAACAGATCATCCTCAAATTTAATTTGAACATCATTTTTTGTTGCATAGCAAATTGTACAAAAATGACTGCCAGAGAAAGACTCAATAAATCCAAGCAAGCCATTGAGAGCCAAGTTATCACAAGTAACTTGGCAAAGACTTGCATAAATTGTACAAGCACCTAAAACTGGAAATACTCCTTGTAATCCAATAGTGCTTAACTCCTGTATCTCTTTAACAAATTTGCTTAAAATTGGCCCATGACCATAAACTGCAATATCATGAGTGTAACCAATGGCTAACAAGTGCACATTGCCGAAACAAGAGTTAAATGCGTGAGGAAGATTTTTTATAGTGTAATAAAAAACATCAACGTTATGAACAGAGCCTTGACTTCTCAACGGATTGGTTACACCTAAACCATCATAAAACAATTGGATCATTAGGGAAATTTTAGATACATCACTAAAGAGGTAACGCTCTTTGAAACGAATTCCATCTGAAAAACTGGTTAATACACCAGGTCTACACTTTTTCTCCAGAAATGCTTTTACATAAGCCTCATTCTGTAACAAATTAAATAAAGTTTTTTTGATAGAAACATACTGGAACTCATCATACACAAATTTACTATGCCCACAATGAGACTCTAACCGTGGCATATAACAGATACTTTACGGTTAAACCATAAGAGGATGACCTGCAAAATAAGAGTCAATGCGATAACGTGTTGATAAAAAATCAAGAGGATTATTGCATAGTTCTTATTTGGGTTGCATCTCTTGAAAAATTTGGTCAATAACTGCACAATCAACACCAGCTAATAATAAACTTTTATGAAATTCTTCTTTCAAATAACATTTTAGTGATCCAGCCATATTATTATATGACTGGACAATTGTAGGTATGATACCATAAGGTATACTGCTATTGGCACGAAGTTGTGTTACAAGTGATGCTCCTTCAGCTTTAACATCCTGCAAAAAATCTAAACTATTTACAGACGAAACCACATCTAGATTAGGAGATGAACCTTGTAAGTGGTTTATACAAGGGGCATTATTGTCACATAAAACCAAATTTTCTGGAGTTTCTTCTATAAATCCAGCTAATTTACTTACTCTCTCTGTGCTTATTCGGTGATAAGTATTTTAATGTCTAATAAAATTAAACAAAACTGAAAACGAACTTTTGCACTTATCCTGATTACAATATATTGGTATAGATAATTGTCGATTGTCTTTATGTCGTTGCAAATGAAATTCAGAAATACTATTATAACCTTTGTTGCAAAGATAACATAAAAACATTTTTAAAATATGTGAATTTCCAAAAATAATTATAACTTTTGTAACTCTTATAAATGCTCGTCATGGCAACTAAAATATATCACGCGTTTTTAGCGTATTATTTTACTCCACTCTAATGTGCAATCTTTTAATTATTATAGAATTTTCACTCAACTCACTTTTTCTGAAATAATAACTCCACAAAATTGTGCAAATTACGGCCTCTACACTTAGTGTGGAAATTTAGATCCACATTTTCCGCGAGAGTATATATATATATATATATATATATATATATATATATATATATATATATATATTATATATATATATATATATATATATATATATGTTCAGAAGGAAATTAATTTTTTTTTTATTACTTTTAATTAAATTAATTATTTTCGTGTACAAATAATGAACTTTGTGATGAATAAAACTTGAAAATCGTTGTCTCTAGTCAGCATTAGTTATTTCTCTAAATTGAAAAAATGCAGCACTTTTATATGAAGACACTAAATTAGCATTATTTGGTTGCACTTGTTTTTTCCGATATTGTATATAAAGCCTCAACCAAGTTGTATATTTCAAGGTCAAAAACTTAAAAGACTAAAAGTGCCACGAATTTTTTCTTAAATCACCATACTAACTTTCTGTCCTAAATCCAAACCAAAACCCAAGATTGCCATACTTCTCTATATATTCAGGAATATGAAGAAGAACATGAACATTATAGACTAAATGATGCTGACCATATAAGGTTTTCATTCCAGAAACATAGCTAATTAATGATTCATTACCAACATGTATCATATTCTTCCAATTGTCACAAGAAAAAGCATTAATAGCTAAGTGTAAAAGCATAAAATGATGGTATTCTGTGGTAAGCAGTACAGCTTTAAGGGCTACAGTTTACCTATAAACAAAAGAAAAATTCTAAATTCAACAGCTTACCATAACCTTATTTCATCAAGCGATCTTGGGCGTCTAGAAAATTCTAATGAAAGGCATTTTCCTAAAATTCAAATACAATTAGAAAGAAAATTTTTACTAGATGAAACCAGTCGACTTTTCCCTCTAATCTCACAACACCAAATCAGTAACAATTGCATATTTTTGAAATATAACAGGTGTATTGGATCAGGTGGGAAACATGTTACCATTGAAACAATTGTGACTTAGGGAGACTCTCTCAGTTGGTGTCCATTTCATTCCAAATTTAAAAACTGTTAATCAGTTTGTTGCACACCAATAGTTTCAGAATAAACAACTTTTATAAATAATTTACAGTAAGATCCTTCGTCTTGGCAATAATCACAAGAATAGTATCATCCGCAATAATCACAAGAATAGTATCATCCGCATCACAAACAAAGAAAAGAATTTTAATTCTTATTTTTGGATAAAGAATATTCAAAATTTGAGAGAATTGGTTAAAATCAATAATGATATCAAAAAACAATCAACTAATGAATCCGGTTTTGATGAACCAATGTGTTTACTTGCAACAAATGGAGTTTAGGCTTAAGATTCATTTGCTCTACAAAGTATATGTCACATTGATTCATTGGTAGAACTTTTAAATTTAAATTTTTTCTCCACCAATAACATAAACTTCCTATTTTAATTTTTTATGCTGAGATCCTTAAAAAATATCTTCAGTATTGAGCCCAGCATCAATTTTATTTTCTATACTATCTTGAATTCCAAATTAGTGATATGATTTGTTTGGATTGGTACAACTTTATTGGTACATTTGATCATACTAAGTAAAGTGGCAGCATAAATGGGTAAATTATTGTCAGGACCAATAATTGTTAATTAAGCTGAAAATGCGTTTTTTTTGACATTATACTGAATATACCATAAAAAAAGTTTGTCTTGCAATGAAAGCTGTTTTAAGTTAGAATTCGGATCATAATCTTGACTTAAAATGTCTAAACTTTAGAAAAAATCTTGATCATTAGAAAAACTAAAGTTCTTTAAAATCTTGTCAGTACTAGGGTTTCTCATTTCCCGTAAATTTAGCATCCCGGGATTCCCGGTGTGTAACTTATTTATCCCGGGATTTCCCAGCATAATTTTTAATATAATAACAAGCGGTTTCTGACACAAATTTATCTTAGCACGCTAATCTATATTACTATTTAAAATAAAATATTGTTTTAAAAAACATAAACAATCAATTGATTTGTCACTTAATCGTGAACGAATTTTTCCCATAAATAGACCCGCGGCAGAAAAAGCCCTTTCTGATTCAATTGATGTCGGCTTGATGGTCATTAATGCGGAGTATATTCTTTTTAGACTTTCGCTACGCTTTCCAGTTGCCTCAAAAAGTTTGATTTCTTTTGTGATGTTTTTTAAATTGCTAATGTCTTCTAGAACTGCTTTTTCTACTTGTTTGACATTACAAATAGTCGCATCCAATTTTTGTTCAAGTGTCAAAATACTTTTGCCTAATAAATTTGGAGCAACAGCTTGAGGTACTGACGGGTCAGAATCCATGCTTTCATTATCACAACTCACTTCAACTATTTCATTATTTGATGAACTAGTGCTAGCATCCTCTATGTACAACCTGGTATAAATTTTTTTTGCTGTTGCTTTTAATGCATGTTTGGACGGTAAGAGTAGTTTGGAGTTGATATTTGATTCCTGATTATAACTAATTGGGTTGTTTAAAAATTTTAGTAGTCCAATTAAATTGGCATTTCTGCGTTCTTCAATTCTCTGCTGCACAGATTGAAGCAGTTTATTAGCTATCAAATTTTTTTCTCCACCAAATCGTCTAAGATGAATATCATTACACCTTCTGCGTCAAGTAGAGTAGCATTACTTCTACCAAGTCTTTCTATTCCAACTTTTATTGGTTGCAGAGAAATTGTTATGGCGTTTATAATCGCATATTCATCTTCGGAGACATTCAGAACTTCTTTTAAATTGATCATTGCTTTTAGTATACATGTTTTTACTTTAAGGAATCTTTCTAGCATTGCAACAAGACTATTCCACCTTGTTTTGACATCTAATATCAGCTTAAGCTCTTTATTAAACATAGATTTTACGTACATTTGTAAAACTTCATTTTTAAGAGGTGATTTGCGGAACATTCGAACCACTTTTCGAACCTTCTGAATTGTTAAGGCTATATTTACGCTATTTTGTAAATCATCAATAAACGTAACGCCTGTTGAGCTGTGTGACTCATCATTACAGTCAAATACATCATCAAACTCGTCGTAATCACTCAAATTTTCATCGGAATCTTGAAACTGCGATTCAAATTCAATATATTTTGCTGAAGAGTCTGACTTTTTGTAAAGAACATCACATACTGCCAAATGAAGTCCGTGGGCATAACACAGCTGATGTTCAATACCACTTAGCCGTCCAAATTTTTTCATTACGGATGCTCCGTCAGTGACACTAGCTATGATGTGCTTTTTAATTGATAAACTGAAATCTGACAGTTTATTTTCAACTAGATCAACAATTTTTTCTGCAGGAAGTGATCCAGCTATCGGAGTCATTCCCAGGTTTCAAAACTTTGTTGATAAGTGTAAATTTACATTTAAATAACGTCGATTTTTTAAAGACGTATATTCGTCTAACGATAAAGAAAATCGCGACCCGCTAGAAATTTCTTTTGTTATCTCTAAAACCACAGTTTGTCTAGCTAATTCATATTGTTTTTTTATCATACCCATAACATGGGATGGATTTTTTGGTAATAACATGCCTTTTTCAGACAATGATTTTCTAATGAATTCACTTTTTGTTATGGCATTTATTGAGAAGCCATCCACCGTTGCTAGCTTTGACACAATTTCCTCGATAGTCTGCTGTTTAACAAACAATGTTATTTTCTTTTGAACAATTTTATTTTCCGAACCAGTATCTTCAAGTAGACGCTTCATATTTAGATCCAAATCTTTATGTGTGTTTTTTAAATGACGTAGGAGCCCACTGGTCGAAAATCCTTTGCACATTATCTTTACATTGCACTTTTTGCAAATTGCAGATTCGCCAGATTTTTCTTTACAAAAATACTGCCATGCTTTGGATCCATTTACAATTGACATAGTATAACTAAATTGAATCGCAGAACAACTAAAAGTAAAGTTACAAATATTTCTTACATATGTATGTTATCTTACGTATGACTTTTATGTGTTTGTTTGCCGTTTTTTAAATACAAAAATTATTAAATATTTCAATAATTTGATACAGAAAAAGTTTAACTTTTCAATAATTTAGAAGTTTAAAAATTAAACTTACTGTTTTCGTCGCAAGAAATCTTTTTTATTTTTTACTCATATTTTATAATAATGAGAAAAAAGAAAACATTGCATTGCAATGCATTTCTTTTT